GAGTTTTTGCATGGAGCGCCTTTTTTCGTCATCCCGCAACAGAAGCCAGGACCGCCATTGGGGCTGACTTCTATCTCACAAACAAGAAACGGATTCCAAGGCAGCATGGTGGACATTGAGGTAGTGGACAAAGGCAGAAAATGCTTCGGATGGGAATTGGTGTTGGACAATCTCTGCAGCGTTCCCTCGCCAGCTTTATATGCCATCGCCGTAGTCTACTTACCTAATGGCTGCGTGGCTGCTGGCATGCGAAGCCTTCCTTGAAACACTCGATACGTCGAATAATGCATTCGGATGCAGTATGCTCCGGTATAGGCCGATCAGTGGCCTGCGAGAAGGGATAGAATTCCAGATCACTGCTGCCCAAATCAGCTACACTTGTGGCTGTAGATTGCGACGACCATGCATTGGCAAAAGGATTGGCTATAGTTGTTGGTAGCATAGTCGGCAAAATTGCGAGTTGCCTCTATACATTTCGAAGTGCGTGCAGGTAGTGATTTGCTCCAACGCTAGATGCGAGAAGTGGGTACTAAGATAAATTCGGTCCCCCGGGGCCCTTGACACACTACCAGGAACAACTTTGGCGTTCCCAGGAGCTGACTCCAGAGATTCTCCAACGCCGCCAAAACATTGTTATCAGGGCTCTGATGCTGCCGTGTGATTGCTACGCATCTCAGCAGAGTGACAGGCTACACTCCTAGCTGACCACGGGGTTTAGCCAAGGCGAGTATATAAAGGCCTCCCATATCCAACTTTCACACATCTCACCTCACCGTCATCTACATTTCGTTTGCTTCCTAGCTCCAACCTGCTGTCCAATCATGGTCTGTTTCAATACGTTCTTACTGAATATACCGACGAGCTAACAAATCACAGCCAAACCTCATATACCTGCCCAACGAGCTTTTGCTGTGGATTGTGTCGCGTTTGCACGGCAGTGCATTATTTGCCCTCGCAAAATCATGCAAAAGCCTTCATTTTAGACTGCAACCCAGCATCTGGAAATACAACATCAAATTTCAGAACAGCAATCTGTTGCACCTGGCCGTCAAATATGACAACGTTGGTCTTGCGGAGGTTTTGCTCCAGCACAATGCCAACATCAATGCATTTTACCGAGGCAAAACTCCTTTAATGAGGGCGCTAAAATACTCTTCCGCTGCTGTGCGTGAACTCTTGCTCAATTGTCGAGACCTAGACATCAAGATCCAAAATCAAGCGCGCGACAGCGCTCTATCCTATGCCATCCACTATGGGAATTTCTCCACCGTCAAGAGCATCCTAGAACAACCCAACGTCAGAGTGGACGTCAAGCATAAACACGGCCGAACGGCGCTCCATCTAGCAGTCTTCGCAGGCAGAATAGGGTTCGTGCATCTGCTTCTTTCTAGTGGCAGCGATCCTGATCTACAGGATGATTCAGGCCACTCGCCATGGGACTGGGCACGTCGCTTCAACAGGCCCATGATGGAAATGATTTTTTCAAACGATCCGAAGTCCGAGGTATTTCTTGGTACTCAATCATCACAGGATGCTGAGCTACCTCTTCACCAAGCAGTATCCTATGGGTCGGTAGATGCTGTCAAACGGCTCCTCGGACAAAAGGGTCTGAATGTGGACATCCAGAACCGGAAAGGCTACACGCCGCTCCATCTCGCCATTCAAAGCAAACGCCTGGAAATGATCAATTTGCTCCTAAGTCACCCCCGTGTCAACGTGAACTGCACAGACAAAGATGGAAATACGCCACTTTGGATGTCTACTTACTCGTCATGCGACGAGATAACCGAAAGGCTGTTGGCCGAGAAAGACATTAACGTTAATTTTGTTGGAGGCCATGGGAGATTCGAGCCGCCGTCCACATCTCTACACCACGCCGCGACCAGACTGGATACCGTGATCCTACGACGGCTCCTCGAAGTGCCAGGGATTGATCCGAATCTCTGCGTTGCAGGCCACTCTCCAATTTCCGTTGCCGCATATCACGGACGCATGAACACGGTTGCTTGTCTGTTGAGTATGGATGGTGTGGAGATCAATGGAAGGGATTTAGTAGATCCGCCCATTTGTCGAGCGGTTGCACATGGCCATCTCGATGTGGTAAGACTTTTAGTGCAACAAGGCGCACGTCTGCACATCAATGAGAGCACGATCGCGACCCACGACACTGCTCTCTGCATTGCTGCCCGTGGCGGTGACTTGGAGATGGTCCAGGCACTACTACGCCATGATCGAATTGACGTCAACCTCAGAAATCGATGGTTTGAGGATCCATTGATGTTGGCGGTCAAGGGTGGACATTTCTCGATTGTTGATGCACTTGTGGTCAATCCCAGACTGAAATACTTCAGTTTGAAGAGATCTCTAGATCTAGCAAGAGACGGTTGCACCCAGAGGGCCGTTCGAAGCAGAATGGAAGAAGACAACACTCAAACATTGTTGAAGCGGTCTCCGAGGAGAAGGTTTGGTGGTCTGTAAGAGCTAGCGACATCTACTTCAGGTAGCTCTCGTGATGCAATGCGAGATGGCTGTTTTCAGCGTCTGTTGACATCAAAACTCGGAATCAAATCATCTACACCACGATTCGGATAGTTTGCAGTCACAATAACGTCACAGTAAAGCTTCAACGACTTCACATTAGTGTATAACCATCTATGCATCAGAAGTACACTTGCAGACTACCACTATGAAATGGTTTATGCAATGGTTTGTTTCAATGCTTCATCTGTGATTTATTCTCGCATATAATTGAGTAGCTTGCGGTGAGCAGCAGGTGAGATCGAGTGTCAACAGTTGAATGAACTTTCTACTGACGCTTTCAATGTGCGGTCTATTCCCAGGCCGGGAGGACAATGGTGGATACCAATAGACTCGGTGCGGCGTTTGTCAGTCTATAAATCCCTCTCCAGCACGATATCCCAACCAACATCTTATGACCAAACTGACCAAAAATGGACTATCCCACGTTGCCTTTCCCAATCGACCGGCCAGCCAAGAGACAGCGTCGGGTATCGCAGGATGCAAAAGATCAGTCCAAGTTAGAAACCCATCCACAGCAATCTTCAAACGGTACAACCATCGAAGCCAAGGTCGGTCATATCCTCTTCGGCAGGAAACGAACAAAAACACTAATACTGCGCAGAGTCCAGTCACACCCCGTGCGCTTACGGTAGAGTTTATGAAACTTTTACACTACAATGACACTCTCGCTACACCAGCCCTCAAGCTGCTTGACTTGTACTTTTCCCTATGGGAATGCTACGTCATCAAATCTGCCGACAAAATGCGACTTGAGGATGAGCAGCGACAGCTTCTTGAATCAAATGAGTGGCTAGCAAGCGACAGCGACATCCTTCTGCAGCTCTGCGATGAACAGGCAATGGTGTTG